ATCCACGAGTGAAAGAAGACATTTCAAAAGAAATAAAGTGCACATGAAACTGAATACAAATGAAAGTACTACATATCAAAATGCATAGACACAGCTAAAGCAGTATAGAGAGGGAAATTTATAGTCCTTAACATGTTGATAGGGGCTGGGGGGTACAGCTCAGTGGCATAAGCACCTGACTGGCAAGCACAAAGGCCTGAGTTCAATTCCCAGTACCAAAAAAAAAAACCAAAAAAAACCCCCAAAAAACCAAACAAACAAAAAACCCAAACATGTTGGTATCAGAAAAGGGGCAAAATCGTTGTTATCTATGTCTCTACCTAAGCAACTAAGAAAAAAAGGAACAAAATAAATCCAGAGTAAATGGGACAAAAATAGTAAAGGAGGGGCCAGGGATTTAACTCAGTGGTGTGGCACCTGGCAAGCATGGGGGAAAATATAATTGATGGTATAAAAAACTGTTTCTTTTTGATTAAGAAAAAAAAATTAGTAAAACTTGTAAACCTCTAGGAAGACTGACAAAAAATAGAGAAGACACATATCATCTCTGTCAGGAAATAACAAGACATCAAAACTCTCCCTACTCGGGGGCTGGGAATTTAGTTCTAGCGGCACAGCGCCTGCCTGACAAACACGAGGTCTTGAGTTTGATTCCCAGTTCCAGGAAAAACAAGACAAAACAAAACTCTCCCTACTCTTATTCTATATAACACTGGAAGTTCCAGCCACTGCAGTGAGGCAAGAAAAAGAAACAGGAGACATACCTATTGGGAAAGAGAAAATAGAGCTGTCCCTACTTGCAGATAACATACTGGTCTACACAGAAAATTGCAAGGAATCCACAGGAAAGCTCTTACAACTATTGTGTTCAGAAAGGTCACAGGAAGCAAAAACAAGGGCAAAACTCAATCACATTGTTTCACTAAGAGTGGGCAGGCACATGGAAACTGAAAGTAAAGGCACAATATCCTTTACATTATTTTAAAGTAAGTAATTAGGTGTAAACTTAAAAGATACTGAAAAGTGGAAAAGGCAGATAAATCAAAGATATAAATGAATGAAGATATAGTGTGTTCATCAACTGGCTGACTCAACATAGTAAAGGTGTTAATTCTAATTTGATCCAGAGATCTAATGCAATTATTATCAACATTCCAACAAGTTTTTTTTAAATATATAGGCATAAACAAAATTATTTCTAAAATTTATATGGAAAACAGGCAAAGTCCTTGGAATAACTAATGCAATCCTGAAAGAAGATATAGTGGGAGAAATCACCCTATCTGATACTAATACTCATTTAGCTCCAGTAATCAATACAGTGTAATAGTATTGGCACAAGGATAGACATACAAATCAATGGAACTAAAGAGAACTCAGAAACAGACTGAAGACGCCCAACTGATTGACAAATATATAAAAGCAATTTAATTGTAGGATGGCCTTTTCAACAAATGGTACTGGAACCACTGAATAGTCAAAAACAAAACTATCTAAACCTCATACCTCATACAAATTAACTCAAGGTAGACCATGTACTTGAATGTGAAACTATAAAACTTCTAGAAAAAAGTAACAGAAAATCTTTGGATCTAAAGTTAAGCAAAATTCTCAGACTTAATACACAAAGCAATTATCCATAACAGGAAAAATTAAAACTGGACCTCAATGAAATTAGGAACTTTCGCTGTAAAAGACACTGTTAAGAGGATGAAATGAGAAATTTTTTACAGTCTGAAAGAAAATCTGTGCAAACCAATATCACAAAGGACTAGTATCTAGAATACATAAAGAATTCCCAAAATTCATCAATAAAAAAATAAGTAATCTTATTAGAATATTACAAAGAAATATAAAGAAACATTTCACTGAAGAGGGTAAATGGATGGCAAATAAGCACATGAAAATATGTTCCACATCATTAGGCATGAGGGAAATGCAAATTAGAACCATAAGAAGACTCACTACCCACCTACCAGAATGGTTAAAATTTAAAAAACAAAAATAAACAAAACAAAAACCCCAGCAACACCACCAAATTTCTAGCAAGGATGCAGAGAAACTGGATCTCTTACACAAGGCTTGTGGCAATGTAAAATGGCACATCCCTTGGGAAACAGTCTATCAATTTCTCCTAAAAATAAAGATACAACTACCATATGAGCCAGTAATTGTACTCTTGGACATTTATCCCAGATGTACAAAAACTTATGTACACATAAAAGCATGTATGTGAATGTACATACATGTAAGATTTTTTTCTTTATAATGGGTAGAAACTGGGACAACTCAGCCATCCTTCAACAGATGAATGATTAAATGGTGTACTACTCAGAAATAAAAAAGCAAGAACTATTAACATTCGCAAGCCCTTGCATGTGAATCTTCAGGAGATTATGCTGAGTGGTAAAAGCCAATTTAAGAGATCACATTGTATGTGATTCTTCATATGATATTCTTGGAGTGATAAAACAATAGAATTAGAGAACAGATTAGTTCCCACTAGGCTCAGGGAGGGGCATGAGGACGGAATAACTATAAAAGGGTGACATGAAGGACACTTTCAGCGATGAAACTGTTCTGTATCTAGACTATATCAATGTCAATATCCTGGTTGTAAGCTGTACTACAGTTTTCCAAGATATCACCATCAAGTACAAGTGGGTAGAGCATACATTTCTGTGTTATTCTTACAACTGCATAGAACTTTACAATTATCTCCAAATTAAAAATTTAATTAAAAAAAGATAAAAGACTAGGTTTGGTTCTTAGCTCTGCTACCTGATAATTAGGAAGCTGACCCTGAGTAGATTTTAAATTATTTATCCTCAATTTTCTCATTTACTAAATAAATAGGGCAACACCACTTGGAGCCTTATGAAAATTAAATGTCACATATGAAAGGCTCTGACCCAATATACATAGCACACAGTACTTTAAAAGAAATCTGTTAACACTAGAGCCCTATGTAAATATTATTCTAAACAGTATCATTCAAATATCCACAACTAAAGCCACTACAAAGCGACTTATTTTTGGTTTTAAATGGAAAGCTAAATTTCTAACTAGTATTAAAATGCTCACAACAGAAAAATGAGTTTAATAAGAAACTAACTTAGTAAAATTTGGGAAGGAAAATGGAATACTAGTTAACGTATCTTGTTTCTGTTGATAAGGAAGCCAGGAAAAGTTAGTATTTATATGCATCAGGAAAAAAGTTAAGACTGCATTTTTTTTAATGTACTTAGTACACCAATTTAGATTCAAGATCTATTTCTAAATATTTTCTCTGCCTCCCAAGTTGAAAGAAACCAGAATTTAAACTGGGAGATAGTCAGCCAGCCAAATCTGCCTAGTTCTGAGGTCCAGGAAGGCAGCGAAAATAAAATAAGGCTCTTTGACAGAGAAGTTAAGACAGTAGGCCCTGAGAGGCAATCCTGTACACTTCACCAGGGAAGATGAGGGGAATTTTGAAACACACAATCGATCTCTAGTGAGTTGCAATAGTATTTGGCCAGAGACCTCTCACTGTGAGGCTTCCGAAAGAGGTGAAAAGGAAACGGGTGACTTATCATTCAAATTACTTTCTTCCCATCGCAATCCCAAAAGAGCTATTTTTATCAAAAGGAAGTATTTTAGAAACAAAAATGTAAAGTGAGAATACTGGCCTAGAAGTCTGGAGCCCAGGATCTCACCAGTAAGGCTGGGCCCAGAGCTTCCCTGGGTCTGAAGTGAAAGAAAATGTCCCAGATGGGTTTCTAGCGCCCTTTGCTAAATTTAAAATCCCTCAGGCACCTTATAAACTAGTCTCCGGGCAGGTTTTATGGTATGACAAACTTCTCTCCACCTCTGCTTTGAGATGACTTTGCTCAGACCTGCCTGTAAGTTGGCTTCCCCAAAATAGGCTTGAGTAAAAGTGAGGAGGGGGCAAGGAAAGGGTAGAGATAAGAAACTCAAAGAGGAAATGACCCAATCTGGGTGCAGGACACTTTCCTTTGCCTACTTCAGTTTTCTTCACATTTCCTTTGGGGCCTTTCCCACACCTTTTAGAGGTGAGAGTCAGGACCCCAGACTCTGTCAACTGGAGTGTTTCTTTCACAGACACTGCAAAGACTATAAAAGGAACAAGAAAAAGAACCTGGAGATTTATCACAATGTAAGGATATTATTCGTATCCGATTCAAACGTAAGGATCTTGCACATAAAACAACGGTGCAACAATGGTGCAAATCTGGACACTGACTAGACATTCGGTGATATTAAGGAGTCCTTACAGTTTTTTAAGGTTGTTCGTGGTACTGTGGTCATGTTTTTAAAACAAGGCTTTTTAGCAACACACTAAAATGTTTTCTAAAGCAACTATACAACATCTGGGATTTGCTCCAAGCTTGCGGGGGCATAGGTGAAGAAGACTGGCTCGGAACTGATCACTGGTGAAGCTGGGAGATGGGTACCTTACAGTTCCTCCCACTATCTTCTCTACTTTTGTATATGTTTGAAATTTGCCCGCTAGAACGTAAAAAATTAAGACTGGTGCTGGTTCCCCTAAGCCTACTGAGCTCTTAAGGGCCTGCTGGTGAGCAGGGGAAGTTCGGAGTCCTCACCCTAGGCAGCTTCAGGGGAAATGCCAGCCACGGGGTGGGGGCGTGGGGGGGTGGTGTTCCTCTCGCACGAAGACGCCCTCCCTCAGACCCCAAGTCCTCCGAAGTTGGCCAGCTTCCAGTAGCTGTGTCCCCAGGCATCCAAGGAAGGGTAAAGCCACCAGGCCCTTGGGGAACTAAAGGGAATGTGCAGGGGCGGAGGCGCCCAGGTGGCCCTGAGGCTGCCCCCCGCCCCAACCCCGACACCGCGCTGAGGATACCTGCCCGCCGCCAGGCAGGGGACAACAAGGCGGACTAGGCCGGCGCCGCAGCGACCGCGGGGACCACGCTGGCGGGGGCCGGCTACCTGCGCCCCACCTGGGCACAGGTGTGCGGCGGGTGGGCGGGGCCCCGCATCACCTTGAGGATGTTGTCGAAGATGGTGTCTCGGAACTCGAGCAGCGCCTTCTGGTCGAACTCGCGGCCGTGGATGATGCGCATCTGCTTGAGGAAGGTGGACTTGCCGCTCTCGCCCGCGCCCAGCAGCAGAATCTTGACGAGGCGCCGCACCGCACGCCGCTCGCGGGCCAG